TAGGGGGTAAAAGTACTTTAAACTGTATAAATTCAATTGAAAAAAATTGGCCAATCACGAGAAAGTTAGCCTATATACTTGCAGCAACTTGCAGCAAACTCTAATTCTGATCTGAACGTGCGAAATTTTAATCTTATAACAAAATAACGAATCGGGTTAAGTCAACCTAAAACAATTTCAGATCGCATTATTTAAGTCGTCAAATTTTTTTCATGAAATTCTTGAACTATATCAGATATTGAGTGTAAAACATGTATTAGGGTTCTCGAGCATCTCACCCAATGGATCGGAGGTAAATTTCTAATTATATAGTCGAAAATTGAATAAATTAACCCAAGTGAGTTACCATTTCGATAAACAAATCTTTTTTAAATAAACAATGAATTCTCAAATTTCTAACCGATATGAAAAAATAGACACTATTTTAAATTCTCGAACCCATCTTTTAACATTTAATCCAACCGTAATGAATACTGCTATTTCATTTGTCGTTCTATAAGTGTCATCATTGATTGTTATCAAATGATTGAGATCTAATAAATGGTTCGGTTTATGTATAAAGTGATTACGTTCGGTTGATTTCACATATGAATTCGCACTGATTTAAATGATTTAGAATTTGGACCTTTACATCTAACTCTAACCTTGGTCTAAAATTGCCTTGGTCTAAAGTTGCACCCTAGCCCTAAATTTTGAGGCGGTAAATACTAAAATTGTAACCTTTATGAAAAAGTTATCGTTACTGCATTTTATGTAATATCTCGTGTAACACTAACCTCCCGCAAAATAAAACTGAAATATCAGTCACATGATTTTTAATATATCTCGTTTCTTGATCTTCGCAAATGCTCAAGTATTTAATGAAACAATTATCTTCTTTATTACATGTACTCTTATCCTTGCCTTTATCAAAAAGAATTTTACTCGCATGGAGTGTTATACATCTATCTTTAGGGATCGCTCTGTGGCTGAAAGGCCAGTGGTGTGATGGTTTAGGTAAACAGGATTAATCAATTGCTTACTTTTAGTTCGAACGATATTTATAATATTTATATAAGTTCAATTTTAATATACCGGTTAGCTCTCACTGGATTCGCTTATCTCGTAATCTTTGATGCGATGGGAGTATTCGCAACATTTATTTCATCCGCACTGACAACATATGGGTCACTAAGACTTTCTTCGATACGGAACCCATTCGGGTAATTTTTTTTTTCATTTCTTTTTAAAATGTATTATAATATATTAAATTCATTAGGTAATTCTACTTTAATACACTTTAATACACTTTAATACACTTTAATACACTTTAATATTCGTAGTATTCAGCGATTTGAAATATTATTTGGTTTTGCGAGTGCACTATATCTTTTATTCGTTGCTTTATATATGCTAAAGGAAGGATTAGAGCATTTCATATTAGAATCAAATCATGAACATTCTAATGTTCATAGGTAATTATATTCTTTATATGTTTTTAAATTAATATTAATTTCTGATCTAATTTTCAAATGATTAGTCCCAAAATTCCGACCTTGTGGGTGTTACTAACCATGTGTGTCACATTAATATCATCCATCGGTTGTCAAAATCATAAAGGGTTTTTTGCATGTTGGTTAATTTGTCGCTCAAGAACTTT